TGTGTTAGCTAGCACAATTTTAGTTAAGAGGCTATTCTACATCTTTCCAAACATATGATTAATACAGTAGCCAAATTGTTACAGTTAAGGTGCAATTTTTAGAAAAAAAATAGTTCCTAAATTAATTCCAGTTTTAATATCAGTAATTCGGGTCATGTCTGAACACGTCCCCTTTTACAGAATCCCTTTAATTTACTCTAACAAGAACTTCTTCAGCAAAAGCATCTTGCACTTGCTGCGACAGGACCCTGCAAAGGCATGATGGAGCTTCCATTTGCATGGCTTGATCAGCATATTTGGTGTTTAGTTCTCATTTTTTTTTCTAACCATTTCATTTGTAAGTTTCAACATACTCAAACCTGCAAATATCTACCCTAAAACATTGCTATCAGTAGTTTTGTATTGTAATTAATAGTTATATGGTAAATTCTAGGCACTATAAAACCTGTTATAAATACTGTGAACCATAATAAAAATACTATCTTAAATTTCTTCTTGTGTAGCACTTACCGCTGAATGGGAGGACTGAGATGTTTTCTTCACTGCCAGTGCCCTGTAGAAATATAGTTTCTCTGGAATGTAAAGATCTGTTCTTCATATAAAATAGCATTGGCTTTTTTTTAAGCAAAAAATTGCTTTGTGTGTTCTTTTTCAGTCTTCAAGTGTAGCCCTGCTGCCCATTCTCTCTCTCAGTTCCATCTATCAGAGAATAAAGGACCACTTTGTTCAATGTGTTGTGTTGGAGCAACACTCTTAGTGAGCAAAAGCAAAGAGATTATGAGAAAAACACATGTAAACCCTTTGTCCTAAATACATAATGATATCCAGATCCCATGATGAACATTACAAATATTTGGCACATACAGGAAAATCTTGAGAATCTAGAAAATTTACAGAGCTGTGTGTTTTTAAAAAGTAGATTTTAGAATAGATTTCAATGTAATTGTGTCAGAATAAAGGTGTTCTCTATCAAAGATAATTGAAGAAATGAGTTGACAGTTCCAGGTAAGATTTATGCTATAAACTTGAATTCATGATTGGAAATACTGTATCCAAATCCATGTAATTTTCATATTTACATACCTTTAACAGCCTTTAGTCTTTTGTCGATCTTCCTCTAGTTGATTGTGTGTCCATGGTCCTGGGTGAATGAATAAAATAGTAATGTTCAAGAAGGCTTATATGGTAAACACAAGAGTATGGTATGAACAGAGATTAAAAAAACTTGGACTTTTCAGTTTAGAGAAGAGGAGACTAAAGGGGGATATGATAAGAGGTTTATAAAATCATGACTGGTATGGAAAAAGTGAATAAGGAAAAGTTATTTACTTATACCCACAGTATAAGAATTAGAGGTCACCAAATGAAATTAATAGGCAGCAGGTTTAAAACAAACAAAAGGAAGTTTTTCTTCACTCAGCACACAGTCAGCCTGTGGAACTCCTTGCCAGAGGATGCAGTGAAGGCTTGAACTTTAACAGGGTTCAAAAAAGAGCTAGATACATTCATAGAGGTTAGTTCCATCAATGGTTATTAGCCAGGATGGGTAGGAATGGTATCCCTAGCCTCTATTTGTCTGGAAATGGATGACAGGAGAGGGATAACGTGTGGATTACCTGTTGTGATCCCTACCTCTGGGGCATCTGGTATTGGCCACTGTTAGTAGACAGGATACTAGACTAGATGGACCTTTGGTCTGACCCAGTATCGCCGGTCTTATGTTCTTATGTTAGTATTTTCCTGAATGTTATTTTTCACTGGGTTAGGCCTGAATAAAAACACCAGATGTGAGCATAGTACATTTTGAGGAATTTAGTTCTGCTTTAAAAATATACAGCTGTCCTGTATCTCTGTGGTGGATAGATAAAACCTCAGTTCTGAAAATTGTCTTCTCAGAATGCTGGCTTGTGTTCAGCTTATTTAGAGTGCAGGCAATTGGTATTTCTTATTTTTGTGAAGTTTTAGAATGCTTGCTCACCCAAGGTGTGGAACAGTCTCAGAAAGAAGCATCTAGGGTTGCAGTTAGCACTGATCTGTTGTTGTTGTGTTTATTTCCCATAATCTTGATTTTGTTGCTATCACAGGATGTATGACAGAGTTACTTTACCTGACAATAACTGATGATTATCACATTAAACAAGTACATTTAAAAAAAAAGTTATCCAGGGAATGGGTAGACCTAAGCTAAATTGTGATTTGAAGGGGGTTGGGGACCTTGTATCATGTGGCAGGAATCTCCATCATACTACATAATGGATGTTCTAGGCTCAGAGTTTCCTGGTATGCTGTAGGGGTTTGGAGGGCCTTGGGAGCCCAGTGCCATGCAAGAGGGATGAGCCGGGAGCCTGGCCTGATGCAGGAAGGAAGAGGGAACCCAGCGCGATGCAGGTGGGGCAAGGGGGGGAGGATTGGCACGCAGCCCAGCTGGGTTACCCAGGGGGCCAGGAAGCTTGCCATGTTGCCTGGAGTGGGGAGCAAGTAGCCAGAAATCTTGGTGTTGGTGTGCAGCTCAGTTGAGCTGTCGGGCAGCCAGGAAGCCATGGGGCAGGAGTTGGGAGGCGGCAGCAGAGAGGTCAGAAATGACCTTGCCTGGTCTGGCAAAATTGCCCATCCAGGACCACTCAGATCCTAAGGGTGCGGACAAGGGAGGTCCAACCTGTAGGATACCCTGCAGGAATTGCATTATTTGTAATTATTTTTGCCTATTTTAAATAAAAGCTGATAATAAGATTAACAGATGAATCAGTATTATTTAAATGTATTTGTATTCATTATATTGGCTTATGTTATTCTAGCCTTTTTAATATTCATAACATAGAACAGGATAGTAATGTATGTACTTTATAGGAAGTGTCCTATTACAAGTAAAAAGCATTTTCCTTTTTCTGTTGCCGTAGTAACCAGGCAGTTTCCTGGGTATCTAAGGAAAATTACTCTTCAGCATTCACTTACTCACAGGAGCTCTGTTTTTTCTAGAAGCTGGCAATATTGTTGGTTGGCTATGAAATGGCAATTTTCATTCAAAGGAAAGCTGATGTCCTTCTAAATTGCATTTAATTTTTTTTCTGAAATGATCTGTCTTTAGAAAGGGAATTCCTAGTTCCACAACCAAGAATTAATGTATCTCATTTTGCAGACATCCTACAAAATGCAAGGGGGCGGAGTCGATGATCCAAATGGGTTTTGTTGGTCCTGCTACCTAATTGTGAAAATTCTGTGTTGTGTGCCTTAAGTTAAATTTTAAATACCAGTCACTTAAATGAGCACTGACTATACCTGTGCAAACAGCTGATTGTGCATGTAAAATGTTTTTGTACATGAAAATGGGCCCTTGCATGCATCTGCTAGATTTTCCCAACCAAGTACACGTTTTGAATATGCAGGAGAATAATTTGGATGTACACTTGTCTTTTTATGAATGATTTTTTGGCTGCACTTTATTCTCTAGGGCCAAGTTCTGGTTTCAGTTATTCTGATACTAATCTTTTTCATTGATGTATGGAATTTTTCTGTGTAGTAACTGGATTGTCATTTCAGTCCAAACCAGTGGTCCATCCAGTCTGACATAGCTCAATACCAGATGCTTGAAAGGGAGCTGTAAAGCTTCCATTATAGATAAATGCAGTAACATTCCTGTAGAAGTTGTTTCTCTGCTAATCCCAGGCATTTCATTGTTGCTTTATATCTCATAGCATGAGTTAATACGCTTTATACTTTTTATCTTATTGAGTATGAAGATGTTTTCACTTCATTATATTACATTTGATATTATTTAGATACTCAGCTACAATTATTTTATACAAATTCCTGTGTGTTACTTGGGATTAAATAAAAAATACTCTTGTATGCTTTAGGACTATTTCAAGAAACTGAATAGAATTTGGTCCCTAATTTTGAAAATTTGCCCGCTATAATCCAGTATTCCTTATTGTTCAGAATGAATTTTTTTGGCCTAGCCTATATGCCTGGTTAAGTAATTTAATCAGATTAATTTGTCTGGGATGACATTTACGTACAGTAGGAAGTCACCGTCATTTCATTTTACTTTTAGAACTCTTTTTTATGGGTTATATATGAGGATCAAAGCCACATTATTCCAGGGCCTGTATGCACACACTCACCAGTCACTGCTCCAAATAGCTTACTTTTTATACTATTAAAACTAACACAATAAAATGATAGCTAGATAGATAGATATAACAGAAGGATTTATAGATTGTTAGTTCTTTAGTGCTCTGTCAGTAGCTATGCTGCTTATTCATTATTTGAACTTACCACCTCTGAGAATTCACCTAGACCTGCTAAAACTTGTTAAAATCCAACTTGCATTTGGCTACATTAGAGGCTTAAAATGTTAGCTAATGCATTTACATGTTGCTCATTGTATCCTAATCTATATTAACTCTGATACAATATGAAACATGGTGAAAGGTGAGCAAGATTTGTAATTATATAAATGACTTTCCTCAACTGCCCCTCAGCCTGTTAAATGTTGTCCAGTTTTCTTCTGTGTATTATGTCAGAATTGTCTTTTTACGAGGGTGTGCACGAAAGGTTAGTAGCTTCACAGATTAATTCAGGCAATGTTTTCCATACATAGAAAGTGGCATGGAAAAAAGTACAAAGATGTTTGAGAGAGGAGCATATAACAGATGGTTGAAACTGACATCATTGACAGAGTAGCAGGGATGTGTATGTGTAGTGTAAGTGGAAAGTATGAAAGTACTGACTTGTGAAGGGGCTTGAAGGTAAAAGAGTTGAAATTTCATCCTTGTACTTGAATGATTGTAATGTTATTTCATAACTTTATCAGCTAGCTATTTCAGGCTGTTGTTGTATTTTTTTTTTATGTTATGCCAAAGGAAGGGGACTCTAACTCTGATTCCTGACACCCACGCTGCCATCTTAGGAATTGTAGGAATGTACATTAGAAGGGAAAAGATTGGAAAATGCAAACCTATGTTGCTATCTGGTACCTAATATTTTGCTTTTCATTATAGGTAGATGTGTCAGTAGTGCACTTTACCCCTTTAGTGCAACCAAAGATACGACAGCCCTTCAAACTGGTGGAAAAGGTTGTTAAAAGTGTGTTTCAGTTCAGAAGAAAATACTGCTGTCGGGGAGTAGAGTAAGTAAATTCTTTAACCAGAATTTTCTTTAGAACTATATTGTTGTTGATGCCTACTAAATCCATAAAAAATAATGCAGCCTTCGTTTGTTCACTTTATGTAAATTTGCATTGCTTACAAGACATCTCAGTGCCTCTCATCCAGCTCTCCTCAAAATGTTGACTGAAGATCAAAACAATTTTAATATAATTTACATAAAAGTTTACTTTGCACCCACTACTCCATAATTAAACCCTAATGCTTTTTTATTAACACACTACAGAATTGAAGCCAGTGGAATTAAGAGGGATACGGTTGTCATCATTTGAATAGTTTCAGGTTTTTAAACGTACTTTTAAATCTTCTGAATACAGATTTGTAAAGAAACTGGCAGATATTGACAAAATGTGTTCTGGACAGTAGTCTGTGTAGGTTGTGTCCAAAAGGAAAGGTCTACATTTCTGAATGGAAGATAAAATTATTAAATTATATTTGACTAACCATGAACAAGAGATGAATTACTACTTAACTTCACTTTCTGCCATTACCTTCAGATATCACCCCCTCCACTTTGGACTAGTGTTCCCTCTAAGATTTTCCATCCATGAATGGAATGAGTTTTTTGTTTTGTGCACCAATATTGGTGTCATCTGCGCTTGTTTGAATGTGTGCCACAGTGGCACCCACCAGTTACTAACAAAATTACATTTTTTATGTATAGTTATGCAAGAAAAAATACAAAAAAATGGATAATTAACAAGGACCATGACCCTGCACCCACCCACCCAGAAAACTACCCAGCTTGCTGGCCCCTGCCCCCAGCATCCACTGTGCATGCTCCACTGCCTGTGGGTTGGCTAACTCCCTACCCCAACACACACTTTCTAGTTGTGCCCAGCCTTGCAATCTGCCCCCCATATGCCATCAGTATATATGCCAGGGCCATGCTATCTGCCCCCCAAACACAAACAGCCAGTACCTGGGCCTAGGGTCCACAACCTAAGTACCACTGTCCAGAGACCTGTGCCCAGCCCTGCATATTGCCTCCCCTGTCTGCTCCCCCTCCCATTCGCCCCCCCCCCCCCCCCATATCACCCAGATACCTGTGCTCGGCCCCACACGTTGTCTGTTTTTCCCCTGTGCCAATCACTCAGAGACCTATGTCCAGACCTACATCTTGCCAGTCCCCCCCTCCGTTGCCCAGACACCTGCGCCTGGCCCTGCATCTCACCTGTCCCCCCTCATTCCCCCAAATCACCCAGAGACCTGTGTCTGGCCCTGCGCCTCACCTGTTCTCCCTTCCCATTGCCCAGAGATCTGTGTCCGACTCATATCTCATCTTCTTCCTCCCCCCACCCCTCAATTTATCTGCACCTGGTATGAACCACCAGCACAGATGGCCAGCTTCTGTGCTGGGCCCCATCTGTCCTTGGCCCCACTGCCTCCCCTGCTGGTACAGACCGCAGTACCTACCTGCTGCACTCTCACCCGAGTTCCCTTCTGCTGCCTGCTGCCAGCTTCTCTAGTTCCGGCCGCCGCTTAAACAGCCGCCTGCCACGTGGCTGTGTGGCAGTGTGTAGGAGGTGGGAGAGCTGGAAATTTTTTCTGTGCACCTGCGCAAACACGCAGCTTAGAGGGAGCCCTGCTTTGGACCCTTTCTACTGGGTAAAAGGCTACAGTGGTATAAAGATATTTTAAAAGCCATATTGTAAAAGCTGGGAGAGGATCCCTCCATTTCTGCACTGGACCAGATAGCTATGTGCTATCGTCTGAGGTAGGAAGGTAAACAACTGGTTGACTATCCGATAAGCATATGCGCAGCGGGGAACTGGCAGCACTTCCGCCTTTGAAATGTAGTAAGAGTGGGGCTCTTGTACACTTCAAAAGCAGAGAGCATGGGGCCAGAGGGGGATTTCTTGAGTCCCCCTCTGGCCCCATGCTTTCTGAAGCTCATCTGCAAAGGTGGGAGTGCCCTTATCGACTAATTGAATAGTCAATGCCAATTGATTTGACTTATTCGATTAGTAGAGTAATCGAAATTTAACATCCTTAGTCTGAGGGCCTACTCGATCCCAGTATGCCCCTCAGCACTGGTGTCTTAAGTTCACAGAATGCAGTGCTGCAGGTATTCTGGGAAGAGCTGCTGCCCAGAGAAAGCTGGGGCTGTGCTGCTGTAATTTAGACAGCTGTGTTGTCAAATTTTGGGGTGAGGGAAGAATCACTGTGTCTTTCTGTGAAGCAGAAATTGCATCTGTGTGAGTTGCAAGCTCGGTGTTGCATCTTTTAGTGGTGCAGCACATTATCTCACCCATAGTCTTTGAAACTAACAGGAAAGTTACATGTATTTCTCTGAAGTGCAGGAAGTTGATCTAAACCTGCAGTGCCAGTTTGTCTGTGCTAGAGGCTGAATACATACCTTGGGAGATGGTAAGTGAACAGGAGGCCAGGCACAGTATGAGCTAGTGTGTGACACACTCTTAGTTGAGTAAGAACTGCTGATGCACAGAAAACACAGACATTGCTGTGTTAGTATGTCATGCAGAATGTGTTTTCAGAAGATTAAACAATAAATGATCATTGTCTTTAATCTCAAATTTCTGATACAGTTCTAAGTTCTTTGAAAAGGAAAAAAATCTGTATTTTTTGCATGTTGTATAGCAGCTTAACATGCCTTAGTACAGTGCCTAGCATATAATTAAGGATTACAATCCTCTTATTGTTTAGCTGGCCAAAGGAAATTAGCAAATTCCAGATGCTAACTCAGTATTCTTTCTTATAATATGATGCTTTACATAGTTATATGAAAGCAAGGTGGAAGGCTGAACATGTTCATGTGTGCGCAAAACATGGCATCTAAAGTAATTGATACATTTGTAATTAAGTAGAATTGCTAATTACATTTGTTGTTGTACTATTCCATTCGCAGGATGTGTTAGCATAAATTCTGTCTCATTTTAGAGCATTATAGATGTTCACTATCTAACATGACCTCTACAAGTTGCAGAATTATCCATGATCAGCATGTTCAAATCTCAAATTATTTTGTAATTTAAAGGAGAATTAGTGCAATATTCCTCTTCAGGCAGTAAGCAAAGTGTTTAATTTTGAGGACCAGTATATTGACATACTAAGGATACTCTTCCTAGGTGCCTATAGGTAGTTCATATTGCTAAACAAGTGTTTTTTGCCTAGCTCTAACAATTCATCCCTTCCCTCTTAAATAAGTCTTCTATAATCCTTAGCTGTGGCCATTTGAGAACTGAATCCTTTCCTGCACAGGTAACAAACCTCATTCTCCCCTTTCCACTGTTCGTAACAGCCAGTCTTTGGGCTTCTGGCCATCAAGTCTGTGTGTCACGTTTCTGCTGCAGGAATAAATATTGTTCCCTAGAATGAGGGAGGGGATAGGTCCTGGCTACAGGGAGAGGGGTAGCACTGACTAAGCAAAGAGATGGAGGCAAAGCAGGAATTCTGGTCAGCCCCTTTCTCCAACAGGCAAGTGCCCTCTCTGACAGAATAGCAGCTCCACTAAAACATTGGAAATAAGACAGATGTCAGGCTACATTTTTCTGGGATCAGGCTTGTTTTATAAGGGTATGCTAAGATACAGGCTAATGGTATGCTGGTGCTCTGGTCATGTCTTTTTGTGCCTTGAAAATTTGCACTGGTTCCCCTTTCTTTTCACTACTGCTCTTTGTCTTCCGTGGCACTCCTGACAACCTGCCTCCTTCCTGATTTTTAAAAACTTTCAAGAAACAGACCTGTTCAATGAAGCATTCCAGCTTCCATGAGTCTGTTTGCTCTAGGTCACACGTGTTTATACCTCTGACAGTTCATAGGCCTGCTTTTTTTGCTCTTTTTTTTAAAACACATTTACTTAAGATATTAAATAGCAAGGGCCAGGAAAAAAGTTAGAATTATGATTATGTTGAACTAAATCTGTGTTAGAGATGAAAACAAGACATATGGGGTTAAGGTAAACTTTTTAAAGAACGGGGTTTTTTATTTGAATATCTTCCTCCTTGTTCCCTTTTAGAATCTTGTTTCCAGAAGCTGAACGATTGGAAAAATGTGAACAGATGATGATGTTAGCAGATGTGGATCCAACATTGCGTCCAGCTCAGCTCTCCATTTTACATTTTAAAAACTTGTGTGATGTATACAGGAAAATGTGTGATGAAGACCCAAGCCTTTTCACTTACAACTATAGGGAAGAATTGAAGCAGAAGAAAACTAGTAAAAGGACATTCAGGGCACTTGGAAAGGAATGAGCATCTATCACAAGTCAGGCAAATAACTCTTTTTTGGTGGTGTTTGATCTAATTATTTCAGGGAAAGGAGACTTACACACACTTTGCTTTTTGTTGAAATAGGGGGTGTGGGGAAGTTTTCGGTCTTATTCCATTCTACTGTACAGGAAGAGGCTGCATTGAAGTATAAGAGCCTTCAACTGCTGAGGTTTGGTGTACCCTCTACTCTCTTCTCTGGCTAAACTTTCAATGAGGTGTAAAGTGAGATACATGTGTCAGAATTTTGGTGACTGGGAGGCATCTCTGAAATGGAGTTTTGTATGAGTGATTAGCATTAGTGAGCCCTTAAGCTGAAACAATCATCTTCAAATATTCTACAGGTTGTACCTCCAAAATCCAGGACCCTAGTCCGGCAACATCTATAGTGCAGTAGGACCACGGATGCTTCTGGAACAGAGAGCCCGGGAGCTTACGGGCAGGACATTGGAGTCAGCAGCCCAGGGTAAGAGCCCTGCAGCTTCCCCCCGCTGAACAGGAATGGAGCCCTGCGGCAGGAGCAGGAGCCTATGCTGCCTAAGGAGTCAGCAGTAGCAAGTGGGAGTAGGGAGGTGGCCTACTGGGGGCAGCCTGTCAGCAGCAGGAGACCTCTCCAGGCTGCAAATTCTCTTGTTCAGGACTGGTTAGGTCCCAGTGATGCCAAACCAAAGAGGTCCAACCTGCATTAATACAAGATTTTTACCTAATACAGTCAATCAACCAGTTTCAAAAAGGATAAAGTGCATAGAAAGTTTGCTAATATTCTCATTTATCCCAAAGAAAAGAGCACAGTGTTGAAAGCCCCAATAAGAGAAAGCTGCAAATAAACCAGGAAACTAGACATAATGCTCATTTCCCTTTTACTGTACATGTTGGTAGAGAAAATAAAAATACAATCAAATAAAGCATTACAGTACAAGCTTTGTTTATATTTACATATATATATATAAAGTTAACAGCATCTTGCAACCTACAAAAAGGACTCCTGTGCACTAAAACCCCTTAAAATAATTTAATTCTGCTTTAAATAAAGCAAAAATTAAAATTGCTGAAAAAATGCCCAAAGGAAAAGTTTTGACTTTTTTTAATAAAGCTTATAGATCACAATTCCTGCAGCACCTTTTCCATATAACTTAAAATATTTAGACTGCACCTTTTTTTAAAGGACACTAAAATTTTGATAACTGCTCAAAAGGGATGAACTTGTTTACAGACTCTGGCCAGCTTAATCAATTTTTCTTAATCCACAAATAAATTAAAATAACTTAAATCCTTTACAACTATATTTTTGTGGAAAAATGTATTAGTGCACAAAACCAACAGTAGTTTTTTCAGCAATTTCCACATCAGCACTAGTTTTAAAGCAAGTCAAATTAACAGGTTATTTAAAACTTTAAAGTCCACATAAAATTTGACTTATGTAGCACTTAAAGCTAGGATTTTCCATGCCTCTCTACGGTTTCATAAAAGCAGTCCTCATTAACTACGGAAGCTAAACTCTGGACACTAAATTCTCTCTCTAAAATAGAATTTAGATCCAAGTTTGCACTATCAGCGTGACCGTCCAGAGAATGGTGATGTTCTTGCATTGCCAGTAAAGTTCCCTTATGTTTTGTGCTGTTTGCTTTTCGTTTAATTGGACAGAAATGCCCACGCACCAGCTTTGGGTGGTCTTCAGCCTTATCAGCCCCAGGCTGTTTGTGCTCTGTGTCAGCACTGGGCTCCTCTGAGATCTTCAGCCGCTGGAACTGTATCTCAATGTCTCTTGTAGGGCTGCCCTTTGTTAGGCTCTGCTGATAGTCCTCTTCCTCATCACTCAGAATATCAGATTCCTTAACAAGGCTGTCTGAAAAATCTGGTGTGCAGCTCGGACAGTGTTTCATAGGAGATGAATTTTTGGATTCCTGCATGCTTTCTGTGGTATGGCAGCTGCTACTCTGAGTACTGCTACTCAGGCTGCATTCGTCAGAATCCAGTAAGTTTCCTTTCCCTGTCTCAGTGTTCCACTCATTACTGGATGAGTTCTTCAGTACCTTTAAGGCTCTTGTGGAAGCTGCAAGTATAAAAGGCAGTCTTAATTTTGCATTACAACAACTTTTGCTAAACAAGGGAATTATTTAATATCCTGCTGTAGCACAATCATAAGTTTATGGCTTTCTGAATTATAATTGAATTAGTCCCATTTGGACTGAAATATAGTGTGTCCTTTAGGAGATTAGACTGCTGGTATTGACAATATTTGATTTTATACTGCTTTAGGTACTAAGACTAAGGTCACTGAACATTTAGTATATGCAAAATCTTTTGTAAAGCCACAGATATGACTTGCAAAGCAAGAAATCTAAACAGTAGTGAGGCTGGATCAGTTACTTAGTGTGTCATATGGCCAAGTGCCATGTGAGTCCCAGTTCATCTGTGTGTCAGTTGCTTCACATGCTGCAAGAGGCATGCTTTTAGTCAAGATTGTCAACACCAGGTAGAGGACTGGCAATATTGGCAACAGCTACAGAAGGCTGTGATCATTTAATCTGACCGCCTGTATAACCAAGCCACAGAGCTTCCCCCAAGCAAGGCCTAGAGCATATCTTTTAGAAGACCATCCAATCCTGGCTTTAAAAATGGTCAGGGATAAAAAAATCCACATTCCAATGGTTAATTATTCTTACTTAAAAATGTGTACTTTATTTCCAGTCGGAAGTGGTCCCCACCTTTCTGTGCTAACTTGAGCTCATAATTAAATATTTATTCCCTGTGTAGGTACACAGAAAGTTAAGGGGTGATTTACAGTGTCTTTGTTAGATACAAGGAAATCAATCTATTTAACTTATCACAGTTAAAGGGATGTTTTGTAAACTTTCAATCATTCTTATGGCCCTTCTTTGATCCCGCTCCAATTTATCAACATCCTTCTGAATTGTGGGTGCCAGAATTGGACAAACTATTCCAGCAGTAGTAGTGATACCATTGCCAAAAATACGTAGAACATCCTCTTGACCTCTAGTTGAGAAGGTCTATTTATGCATCCAAGGATTGCATTTGGTCACAGCTTCACACTGGGAGCTCATCTTCCAGAAATTATTCACCAAGACCCCTAAATCCTTTTCAGCATCACTGCTTCCCAGGAGTAATTCTCCTACTGTGTACGTATGGTCTACTGTCTTTGGTCCTAGATGTCTACACCCAGCAGTAGAAAGCAGTGCTCCAAAGAAGGCCTGTACTCCATCAAAAAATGCTGATAAGGCATTCAGGTGGAATGAATAGAAGGTGGGAGGGAACACTGCCTCATTTCCTGTTCTGTTGCCTGAGCTTTGCATAATGGTAGGGAAGGCTGAAGGAAAGCTTGTAGTAAGTGGAAAGCCAAATCTCTTTCTACTGGAAGTAATAAATTTAACCTACAGTAGGCCTGTTGGTGTAAGGAAGCTAAATGGGGTAAATTTAGAGTGTGGGTCACAAAAGGGAGAAGTGGCAGCAGTTCTTTGGCATACTTCTGCTGTTACCTTAACCTGAAGTACACCACAAGAAGGATTCTGGTGAGGTGGATTTTCTCCATGTCATTGTCTCTACATCAGGATACGACAACAAAAGTTGATGCTGGTAGCAGCTTAAGTTGCTTTTCCTTCTGTGATAACTTCCTGAATGAGAGAAGTCTGGCAGCTATTTGACCCTATTCCTTGGAGAAGAGATCTAATGTGGAATTGTAGAACTGGGAGGGACCTCAAGAGGTCATTGAGTCCAGTCCCCTGCCCTCACAACAGGACCAAGCACCGTCTAGACCATCCCTGATCTGCTCTTAAAATGTCTCCAGAGATGGAGATTCCACAACCTCCCTAGGCAATTCATTCCAGTGTTCAATCATCCTGACAGGAAGTTTTTCCTGATGTCCAACCTAAACCTCCCTTGCTGCAGTTTACAACTATTCCTTCTTGTCCTATCCTCCGAGGCCAAGAACAACAATTTGTCTCTCTCCTTCTTTTGACACCTTTTAGATACTGAAAACTGCTATCATGTCCCCCTCTCTGTCTTCTCCTTTCCAAACTAAAGAAGCCAAATTTTTTTCAGCCTTCCCTCATAGCTCATGAGCTCTAGACCTTTAATCATTCTTGTTGCTTTTCTCTGGACCTTCTCCAATTTCTCCATATCTTACTTGAAATGTGGTGCCCGGACCTGGACACAATACTTCAATTGAGGCCCAATCAGTGTAGACACATCAGAAGAATGAATTCTCATGTCTTGCTCACAACACCTGTTAATGCATCTCAGAATCATGTTTGCTTTTTTTGCAACAGCGTCACACTGACTCATATTTAGCTTGTGGTCCACTATGCCCCCAGATCCTTTTCTGCAGTATTCCTTCTAAGACAGTCACTTCCCATTCTTTGTGTGTGAAACTGATTGTTCCTTCCTCAGTGGTGTACTTTGCATTTGTCCGTATTAAACTTCATCCTATTTACCTCAGACCATTTCTCCAGTTCTTCTAGTTCATTTTGAATTATGACCCTATCCTCCAAAGCAGTTGCAACCCCTCCCAGGTTGGTAATATCTGCAAACTTAATAAGAGTAGTGTCTATACCAATATCTAAATTGTTGATAAAGATATTGAACAGAAACGGTCCTAAAACAGACCACTGTGGAACCCCACTTTTTATGCCTTCCTTCATGATTATGAACCGTTAATAGCTGCTCTGATAACAGTTATCCAGCCAATTATGTACCCACCTTATAGTAGCCCCATTAAGTTGTTTTTGCCTCATTTATTGATAAGAAGATCATGCCAAGACAATACAGGCAGTCCCCGACTTAAGCGGATCCGACTTACGTCGGATCCGCAGTTACGAACGGGGCTGCCCCAGAGTACACGGACTGCGGGACCTTGCAGTCCTGCCGCCCGTGTACTCTGGGGATTTCTCTGCGTCTCCCTGGTCTGCAGACCAGGAAGACGCAGAGCAAAGCGGCGGAGGGGAAGGCTGGGGTGCCCCACTGCCCGAGCCTCCTCCCCCTCCC